GTGATATGTAAAAGATTCAATTTATTATTTGTTGTGTAACGAGGGTTAATTACTTTAAATTGCTACTACTACCCCTACAATTTCATCCGTTGTTTTCTTGTGTTGAATTATTTTTTTAAGCTCATTGCAACATTGTTCAGATTCCTTCTGGAGTTAATAAATGGTTAAATACTTGATTTGATCGCTCAACTTTCATTTTTGAATTGAATTTATCCTTGAACTTCAAAAAGCACCAATGCTATCCCTAAACTTCAATTTTTGGGACCAATTTGGTCCTTCCATCAAAGGAAGTGCCAGATGACACGTTAAATAGCCATAAAATCAATTTTTTCTTTTTTCAACTAATGAAATGGAAAAAACACACGTAAGAAGTAATGAGTTAGCATTTTATCCTTAAAATTACACAATTATCCATATTCATCATGTTATTTTAACTCATTTTATTATTTTAATATTTATTAAAGTTACCAAAATACCCTTATATTCAACCTCACTATTCCCTCTCACTTTTCACATCTCCTTCAACCTTGCTTCAATTACTTTGTCTTTCTTGTTATAGAGAGAAAGTATTAATAAATTTAAATCATTAACATTTATAACTTGTAATTAAAGGTTTTAATTGAGTATTAATTAAAGGCAATTAAATTTGAAAATGCAGCTAGTGCCAATGTTCATCTCTTCCAACTCTAGCCTTCCACTTCCGATACCATTTATGTTCAAAATCCTTACGATTCTTCCATTAGTTCTAGAACAACTCATATAATGAAATGAATTAATCATAAACTAAGTTAAATAAGCAAAAAAATAAAAATAGAAAGAAGATCAAACAAAAAAACAAATGAATGAATCAATTTGTATGAAAAGAAATGAAATCAATTTGTATGAAAATAAAAAAAAATTAAAATAAAAAGAAGAAGATCAAAAAAGAAACAAACAAACGAAATTAGGATGGCCAAGAAAAAATAAAAAGAAGAAACCCAATCAATTTGTCTAAAAACAAAACAAAACAACCCAAAATAATTCATAAGAACCCAAATCAATTGAAGCTACAAAAATATGGGTTCATGAGTTTGCTTTCCAATTTAAAGTAAACATGAGTTTACCTAGAAGAATTCAGGAATAAAGTAAACATAAAAAAAACCAAGGTTCTCCTATTATGAACCTATAGCTTGGGTTAAAGAAGAACCCAGATCTAGTTCTCTCAATGACAACCCATCTGTGTATGTCCAGGTTCTCACCAGCACCCAACCAAGGTTTGGCCATCATCATCTTCCCCATCATAGCAATATTGGGGAAGGGTCGTTTGGTGATGAAGATCAGAGATAAGGGAGCAAGGTAATCGTTAATGAAGATCAAAGATGAGTGAGAACAATGATCAGTGATGAAGGTGATGAAGATTAGAGATGGTGAGAACGATGATTGATGATGAAGGCTGAAGATGGGTAAGAATGATGATTAGAGGATGATGGAAGAAAAAGAGGAGAAAGGTTGAGAACGATGATTAGAAGGCAAAGGGTGTGACAGCTTGGATATTAGATCTAGGGTTTCTGGTGTTAGATGTACATTAGGAGAAATGAAACGGTGAGCATTAGGGTAGGAATTATATTTCGCTTAAAATGCTAGAT